CCCTGGCGGGAGGGGCTGGGGGGCCGCACAGTGACCCCGGGCGGGAGGGGCTGCGCTGTGACCCCTGGCGGGAGGGGCTGGGGGGCCGCACAGTGACCCCGGGCGGGAGAGACTGGGGAGGGCCGCACTGTAATCCAGGGGGGCTGTGCGGTGTCTGGGGCGTGGGGGGAGTGGATGGAGAAATCTGGGTCTTGTGGGGGATGTCCGCGGGGTCTGGCCGCTAATATCCATTATACTGTTCAGCCATTAGGTGGCGCTGCATGTAACATATCCTACTTAACTCCCCGCAACTGTCCCGGCAAACACATCTGGGGAGTGAGCGAGCTCTGTAGCTGGCGTCTACATCTGGTATATATGACAGACATGAGGGTCCAGAAGGCGAGATGGGCATTTGGGACTGCAGCTGGGTTTGGAGGGCTGCCCTCCCTCTCCCCAGATCCCTGTTCCAGCCCAGCACATCGCACCTGTTGTGCACCTTGGACAGCGCTGTGCAGATGCTGGGGTGTGGATGTCTGCTCCTGGCTGGGGGTTTCAGAGGTTTCCCCCCCGCCCCCACATCTTCAGTTATTGCAAAGTTGAGGTGGGAAAGCTCCAGCCATCCTGTTCACCCCGCCATGGGGACGGCCTGTTTGCTCACATTGCGGTGCTGGAAGAGGATGACTAGAGCTGCCTGTTCTAACTGGACAGGCTCCTTTCTCTACGTTGGTATCAAAACGTTGGAGGCGGAGGAGACTGAGGTGGATATTTCCTTCACAAATCAAAGGCAAAAGCCCAGCTCCAGCTCCCTGGTGCACCAGCCATGGCTGAAGTGTCTCCAGATCAGCTGGCTCTGTGCCCAAATTGTCGATAGCATCTGCTCAGCCCCTCTTGTTGGGTTCTTTTCAGAGGTTCTTGTGGGAATCAACCCTCAAATGGCTGGGATTGAGGGGGATGGGGGGAGTAGGGGGCTGGGGTAGGGGAGAGTGCTCTGCCGACACTGGGATGATACTGCCCTCTTTAGTTACTCCATTTAACCAAGAGAAGGTGCCTGCAGTCTGCCTGGGGAGAGATTGCACAGGCACATATACGGGCTCCCCTGCCTGGTGCCCTTCAATAGCTCAGTGGTTCACGTAGGGTGCTGTAGTGTGCTTGGAATGATGCCCTTAGATCTCTGGTTTGAGTCCAGCTGGGAGGAATGGACTCTCCTGAAAAACAGCTGTGCCATGGCCGCTCACACAAAGCATGTTAACATCTGCCTGGCATTTGCTGCCAAAGCCTTAGGCTTCCCTTTGGAAGCAGAGATGTGAGGAGATCTGTGAGTGAAGGAGTGACCGGATGAAGCAAGGACACCCAGGGCCTTCTCTGAATAGAAATTTGGAGGTTGTACCTCGAGGGCAGCCCATGGGGTGAAGGTGGGCCTGTCCCAGACATCCCTCTCTGGCTATAGACGTTGCAGTTTAGAGTGTGCTTCTCCGGCTGTAGGTCTGAGGGAGATGGCGGCCCCCCTTCCAGGAGTAAAGCAGTCTAAAACCAGCAAGGGCAAACCAAACAACATTGGAGCCCACAAAGACTGCAGGCTCCCCCAACAGTTGCCTGAAAGGTAGGAGGGCAGGGGTGACTGGGAAGGGGGCCTGGCTCCCTGACCCCTCCTGTCCTGAGGACCTAGGCTGTGGGTCCTGGGTTCCAAACAAAGTAAGGATGGTCCCTCTACTTCGGGGGATGCAGGCAGCAGAGGCTCTTCAGCCATCCTGGTAAGCAGCCCCTTGGGCTAGGGAGCTCTTCTCTCTGAGTGCCACCCTGCATGTGGCTTGGGTCCTCCCTTTTAAAGGGCCACCCCTCTCCAAGTTTGACAGGCTTCCCACCTGTGCCAGGTTGGGGCTGACTGTGCCCAGCTGAGCTCTGTAACCCCTTCCTGCCTGAGGGGTGAGAACTGTCCCGTCCCACCACAGAAACATAAAGGGTCCACATCTCCCAGGCAGCAGGCACAGAGCCAGGCACCTAGAGCACTCCTGCAGCTGGTTGGTTGGCCATAAGGATTCCTTTCCTTCCACCCCCAGGTAGGGGTAGAAGCTCTTTCCTCACCCTCCCTATTTCACAAAGTGGGGAGAGCGCTTAGGAGCTGAGTATGAAGCTGTCCTCATTGAAAAGGGCCTCATTTGGCAAAGGCACCTGATGGGCCTGCCAAAGTCAGGATTGAACCAGGTACCTCTAGGCAGTCAGTGCTATGTTTGCCCGAGGGCACTGAAGTGCTTGGCTTTGGCCTTTTCTCTCTGGGGAAGGGTCTTGGTAATGAGCCATGAAGCTTTAGTGCAAAACTTGCTTGAGACTTCAACTATCACAACTGCTGTGCAGGTTCTTCTAGCAGCTCTCACGCCCAGAGTCAGAGCCTTCGATCAACAACCCCTGCTGCTTCCCATAGTGCTGAGAGGAATGAGTGACCCACGCACCGCAGGTATTTCAGAGTTGGGCCAACACAGTCACCAGGAATTGACCCCCTCCCCTCCTACCACAGTCTGGCAGGTATCCCTAGACCAGCACAGCCTGCGGTGTGCCCTGAGTGTCTGGATTTCTGAACACTGTTTGAAATCCCACACGGGAAACGCCTTTATTTTCACAAGCTCTTTTCGGGGGCTGGCTCCACAGCCTGTTTCTTGCAGAAAGGAATTGGTTACCTAACACTCAGCCTGCCTGGATGCAGGTAGTAGATTCTGCCAGGATCTCTCTAGGGCCATGGCTCTTTGCCTCCCACTCAGACTTTGACCTTATTCAGCCCAAAATCCCACAGTGCAATCTGACCTTGGCCCACCGTAGCCAGGACGTTTAGTGTTGTCTACTGGCCTGTATGCCAGGGGGGTGGCCTGTTAACGAGTGACAGCAATAAAAGCAATGTGTTGGCATGTGGGTGAGAGGTCACGTACCCCTCTGGAGGCCCAGGTGCATGGGACGAATTTGTGGTTGCAGAAAGGTCCCCAGGATGCTGTGGCAGAGCTTTGGTTGGGGGCCCCAGTGTTGGTCACCTGTAGGTCCAGTGTCTACTGGTATCCTTGGCAGTCTACACAGGCCAAGAGTCAAACAGGATGGGGCGGGGCAGGGGGTTCTGCCAGCTAACACCCAAAGCCTTTCAATCACCAGCATATTCCAGCCCAGCGTGATCCCTGTCCCTGCATCTCACAAGCCCTTCAGCATACCTGGCCACATCTGTACCAGCACTGCAGAGCATGAGGTGGATTCCCATCCCATGAGCTCCCCCCACATCCTGGACAGCCAACAACACCTAGTTGCAACTTCCCTGGGCTAGGTCAGAACTGGTGAGCTGGTGATGGGTCCCTGGCCCAGGCCCCCTTCCTGCCTCCCTCTCCCCAGCCCTTGCTGGCTGTTGGTGGCTCCCAGAGTCCAGCTCTGGTGTCCAAAGCTCAGCATCTGGCCTCCCCTTTGAGGCCCTGGGGTGGGGAGGAGAGAGGGGAATATTGGGGTTGAAGCGACTAGGACTAGAGTCCACGGGAGAGTGAATGTGTCGGGCATTGGGACCGGCCCCAGGAGCTGCTCCAATAAGTTTGGGTCAAATAAAAGCTGCTCAGGCAGAGTCCTGCTGCCAGGCAGAGTTGCACTCCTATCTAACCCTACTCTGCTCCAGAGCCAAGGCTCACCAGGGAATGGGTGCAAATAGAAGACTCTAAGCACAGTGTGACTTGGGGGGAGCCAGCAGTGTGTGCATACACCTGCATGGAGGTCCCTGTGGGTGCCTCCTGAGGCAGTTTGATTTCTTTCCTTCCAAGAGATCCCCTCTGCCCCTCCCCTCTCTGGCCTCTGACTAGCTAGGGCTGGGGCTGTTTAGTTTATCTGACTGATGAGGGGAAGTGCTGAAGCAGAGGCTAAGGTGTCCAAGCTTTGCAGCCCCGAAGACCATGCTGGGACCTATAACATCCAAGGACTGGACCATGTGATCTGATGGGGAGGGAAATGCTGTAGCTGGTGTTTAAACTGGGCTGAGAAAAGTCTGGGGTCTGTCATTGTTCATGGAAGGTTAGAGCAGGGGACTGGGAGACAGGACTCCTGGGTTCCATTCCAGCTCTGTCCTGGACTTGCTCTGTGACCTTGGGCAAGTAGCTTTCCCTCTGAGGCTATGCCTCAGTTTCCCTACCTATAGTGTGCTTTCAAAGCATGGGCTTTGTGGATGGAACATGGTGAAGGTGCCACATTTAAATACAGTCACACTGCCCTTTGCCAGCAGCCAGCTCATCTGGCATGCAACACAGAGGCCTCATTTGGGGTAGGATATACACCCTCTGTCATCCCACATGCTTGGAGCTGTGCCTGTGGTCTCCATGGCCCCTGCTCTGGCCTGTATGGGATGCTGCATGCTGGGATTTGCAGGCTCTGTGAACTGCAACATGCATTGCAGCTGGTGTCGCTCTATAGACCTTTCCGGGCCTCCTCTGAAGGGCTGATTTTCAGAGGTCCTGAGGCTCTGGAAGCTGCAGGTTGAACATCTCTCATTCCCCAGCTCTCACACCACTCCTTCGCCCTCCCACACAAGCCGGACTCATCCTTGCCACTGGCAAAGGACCTATGTGGAAGACACTTTCCCTTCTTCCTTGGTTTCACAGGCGGCCAGCTCTGGCGATTTCAGCATGAGCCTCCCAACAACTGGTGTTTTTCTTAAAGCTTGGGCTCCTGGAGTCAGGTGATGACGTGAGACTCAGCTTGCATTCTAAAATCCATTCCTAGCCCTGGTGGTTGTGGAGAAAAGCTGGAAAACGTGACACCCCCCCCAGGCTCAGAGACCAGGAGACCAACGGGGAGAAGAAGCCAGATGTAGGATTTCTAAAAATCTCCTGAGGTTTAGTCCAACCTCATGGTCTGGAGGCCCAACCTGTGCTCTTGCTCCCGGCCCCTCAAGTCAAGGCGCTTTTCTTTGTCCAGCATGAGAATTTATAGAGGATCCCTAACTGCTGAGCGGGCTGGGAGCCTCCCTCCGGGCTTCATTGGCCAGAAGGCACAAGGGACTCCAGACACCAGCAGCCAATGAGACGCCCAGGATCGGATTAAAGGGCCTCCCCCCTCCACCCCTACAAAAGGTGATGCGGGCGCCCTGCCAGGTCAGCCGGGCGGTAGCGGGACGCGCGGAGTGTGTCTGTACCAGTCCAGACAGGTGCCCCCCGGGGACGCCCCCCCCCCCAGCCCGCACCTTTCTGCAAAGGTAAGAGCTCCGCTGTCCCTGCAAGCGCCCGGCTCTGTCTTCCCGCCCGCCCCTCTCCAGGGTTAGTCCTCTGCAATTCAACCCTGGGTTTGGCAAGTTCGAGGAACAGAGGCCCCCCGCTCAGGCAGTGCTCCAAGAGGCTGCTGTTCCCCAGCACCCAGGCTGCGAGGCACGCGACGAGCGCATCGGATGGGTCTGGGCAGACGTGCGGGCAACGGGTTTGGATCTGGATCTCGTCTGAACGTGGCTCCTTTCCTGATCTGCCTCCAAAGGAAAGGCTGGGTGGGGAGAGCAGGTCCCGGGGCGGGGGATTGGCCTTGCAACGCTGGCTCTGTCTGGAGGCCCCAGGAACTGGAGCTATGGATCCGATCGGATCCGCACGCATCCGTGCCTCTAGCCTAGTTGCATAACCAGTGTCGTGTTCACTTTGTGGGTGGGGGCAGAGGGGGTCTCTCAGACGTTAGGAGCTGTGAGGGCTCTTCATCCCCTGCCTGGGTGGGGAGGGGGGGATCGCCTTCGACAGAGGGTCTGGGGCTTGGCTGGGTACTCTTGTGTTCTAGTCCTGGCTCTGCGTGACCCGGAGAGACTAGCTCCGTGCCTCAGTTTCCCTGTCTGTAACAGGCTACACTTGACGTTGCCCTGCCTCCCAGGTGGCAGTAACCCCTGAGTGCAGGGCAGTCAGACTCAGGGACTCTCATGAAGCCTGCTGTGGGTCCAGATGTGTCAGGCGTAGAGTACAAGGGCCCCTCTTGTAGATGCCCCAGGTTGGTGCTGCCTGCTGTAAGGTTTGCTGAGGAGCCCAGGCGCCGTTGAGTGAGAGGGGACTTTCTGAGCTGCCCCATCCTGCCACCGCTCCAGCCCGCCGGGCGGCTAGCAATGGGTCTGGTTCTCCAGGCTCTCTGCCACACACGTGGCTGCTGTTCCATTCTCAAGCTGCTAGCGCCTGGGGCCACCCTGAGCTGCCCTCCCCGGTGGCATTGTGTTCCCCGTTTGCTGTGCAGCGCGCCCGGCCTGTTGGTGCACTACCTTAATGAGCATCAACGTGAGCCCTTTAGTGGCAGCACCTGGCCACCTGTGGTAACAGGAGAACGCCTCCCTGGGGGCCTCTTCAGCACTTTTGTTTTCCACACTGCACGTCCCAGGTGAGCAGGGCAGAGCCAGGTGCCAGTGTAACTCGTCTCGCAGCAGGTGGATTCTGTTTTGTTTGCAGGTGGCAACTGTTCGGCCTTTGTCTCCATGCTGGCTGCAGAGCTCCGTCCAGTGCCCGTGGGGCTGGGGAGCAGGGGACTCCAAGCCTGGGCACTGCACTCACTCAGCACAAAAGGGGAATGTGCATTTGAGGGAACATTTTCCAAGAGTGAGAACCAGCTGATTCCTTGCCCTTCTCCTTGGCGCTCCCTGGGCAGGTCCCTGTACTGCCTCAGTTTTCCATGTGTAAACGCATTGATTTTAGTTCACAGACTCAAGCCTGAGGCCGGTTTATTGCAATACATACCAACGCGTTGGGGTAACAGTCCGAAAACTGTCACACCTAGCAGCAGCTCGCAGGCTGCTTTATTCTGTCAAACCGCAAGCATAGTACAAATAATACGTCATTTATGCGAAAATAAGAGTAGGGGGTCTGTCCCTTTTTCCCGTTAGCTTCCTCATTATTTACGAGAATTGGGTGCCTATTGGGTGGGGGGGTTCTTGGTGGTTTTGACATGGGTGGTACTTGGCACCAGGGGGGGTGTTGTTTTTCATCAGGGTACATATTGTTTTCCCGGGGGGGGTTATTACAGGATGCCCAAAGATGATTGGCTGGTGGCAGGTAGCTGGAACTATAGGAGGGAGCTGGCCTTTGCTAGAAGCAATTTCTTCATATAAGCCGTTACTATGTTTCATCAATAAGCAGTTATCATGTTTTTCCATCAACAAGCAGTTATCATATTGCTAAGGCCTTTCGCATGGCTTCCTTCCCCTCCCTCCTCTGGTCATGGCCCATGACAGTATTTGGCAGGGGATTGCACAGCCTAGTTTTGTTCAGGTTCTGGCCTGTACTGTTTTATGTAAAGGCCGTCTGTGTAGTCCGCTTCTGTCAGAGGGCCTGAATTTGGGCCTTCGGTGTTACTTTGGTTGTCATTAAGAAGGCTACCTAGTTCTTTTTCCCCGACCCCATAGGGTTGGAAGATGCTTTGAAGTCCCTGCTGGAAGGTGCCACAGATATGCTTGTTATATTGTGCTGGAGCCTCCTCCAGCAAGGTCTGACTGAGCTCTCCTCTGAGACCTGGTAATGAGCTAGGGGTGGAGGGCTTCAGGGCCAGACTGTATTTACATGAAGACACCCACTCTGTCTATCTGTGTTGCCCAAGTTATCAGTTCTGGCTGGTGCTGGGGTACAAATCACTTTAGTGCTGAATACAGGGCTCATGAAACATTATCCTTATTGTATGAGTGAAGGGCAGCAGGACTGTGCATAGCCTGGCCTGATTGAGGGAGGGTCACCCTGAACTGAACTGAACTCACTAAGCAGAGGGTTTGGATGCCCTCTGCCAGCAGAGGGGAGGAGTTTGTGCCTGTAGGTTTTGGCTCTGCCTAAGGTGACCTGCACCACTCCACTGTTTAAACACAGAACTGATCAGGCTCCACTGAGAGTCTTTTGTTTTAAATGGTCGCTAGAGCTGAAATTCCTGCTAATCAGGTCTTAGTGCTGACCGGCCTGCAGCAGTGAGATTCCCCCACTGAGAGCTGAAATCACTGGGCACAGGGGAGAGGCCAGGGGCAGCAGACGAACATTGCTTGAGGTTTCTTTCCTCCACCAACCCTGGGTGGGAGGTGAACTCATGTGAACGCACCCCTGAACTCTGGGTCTTGCTGACCAAGGACAGCAGCTGTGAGTGAGGTGCGGTGGGGGTGGCATGTTACAGGGACATTTGTTGGTTGGACTTCCACACCGCCAGGTGAGAAACGGAGGCAAAGGGCACTGCCTGTACTCTGGGGTGGGAGTTTTGCTCATGGGCAGACATGTTCGAATCACGGTTGTGGTGGTTTCCCCTTGGATTACATTTTCTCCGCTAGGCACAGACTCCGCTTGCGAGTGGGGTGATGTTGCCTCTTAGAGGCACCGGGGGTGAGGGGGTGTTTAGTTTTCCCTAATTACTGGGTTGAGGCTCGAGCCAGTTCTGTGTTGCATTGTTAAGAGGGACCCTGGTTGCTGCCAACTCCACCTGGCAGAAGGGCTGTGCTTCCAGGGAAAGATCCAGATGGCTGTGCTGTCCCCAGCAGCTCCTGGAAGCCCTGGCCCTAGCTGTCCATGCCTGCAGCCTGGGACTCTCCTCCCTCCACCCCGAGCTGTCCTCCCCGGGGGTGCGTCTCACAAGGAGCTGTGCAGGGCTTGGGAGAGGGCTGGCCTATGGCTGACATGCCTCTGCTCTGCCCTGCAGTGGGAGTGGAGGGAGCGTGTCCGCAGAGGATGCCCATCCTCGTCTCACCTGACATCGCTGCCCAGTTCAAGGAGAAGTGGCTGCTGCTGCACCCCGAGGACCGGGACAATGTGGGTGGGGCTGTGACCTTGGATGACAGCCTCACCAGCCTACAGTGGCTCCAAGACTTTTCCATCGTCACCGCTGATCCGGAGACACCACCTGTCCCTAGCCACCCTCTCCACCAGCCTCCCCAGCAGCTCTTCCAAGGGTCCGAGGCCCCGGCCAGCCCACCGGCAGGAGACACTGCGGCCAAGGGGATGCCCCCGCGTCTGGGCAAACCCACCTCTGCAGCCACCTCCCCTGGCACCAGCTACCTGCCTGGCCTTGGCGCTGCAGAGATCGATTACAAGAGCAACCCTGGGGTGAAGCCCCCTTACTCCTACGCCACCCTCATCTGCATGGCTCTGCGGGCCAGCAAGCAGGCCAAGGTCACCTTGTCAGCCATCTACAGATGGATCATGGAGAACTTCTGCTACTACCGGCACGCTGAGCCCAGCTGGCAGGTGAGTCGGTGGCTTGAATAATTAACGGCCCTGTTGAGGCGATGGACAATGGAGGCCTCCGTCTGTCACCACAAGGACCGGGGCTCCGCAGGCTGATAAATGAGCCGCGGTATTTGATTCCTTCTGCCTCGGTCACCCCCATCAAGGCTGCGCGTGCCAAGGGGTGAGGGTGGGGAGCGCAGGGCACTGTTTCTCTTTCTCTCTTGCTTCTTGGAAGACCCCAACAAACACCGTGTTTAGCTGTGGGGCTGCTCCTCCACCAGGTGTCTTCTGGAGTGGGGGATACTGGAAAGGTGGCTCATCCGCCCTCTATTTCTATGTGGCCTTTCACTCTACAGGTGATAGAGAGGGTGTCTGCTTGGGACTGAAATGCAGCCACCTCTGGGGCTGGTCACAGCTGTGGAAGAGCTCCCAGCAAACCTACCAAGCAGTTTCCTTGCTCAGTGGGTCAGCTCTGCCTGCTCGTCATGGCCATGTGAATCGCGTCCCCACCCTCTGCTGTGTGGAGAGGAGTTTGCTGGGATTTCAAAGGGATAAGTGACAGGACTTGGGGGCTCCAAGAGCCAGTGTCCCTGGGTTCATCAAAAGCCCCTTTATAGCAAGGATAAAGACCGGGGGATGAACAAACCTGGCTTGTGTGTCTAGACCCAGGGCTGCTAATGGGGCCACCTGAGCTCTGGCAGGGAGGACTCTGGGCCGGGGAGGGGTCCCAGGAGGCATTGGCAGGTCTCTGACCATGCTGACAAGTGAGCAAGGGGCAGATTTGACCCCAGGCATGTTGTCCCTGCTCCTGGGAGCTGGAATCGGAGGGCGTAATGCTTCTGGGCACCCATGCTACCCACCCCAAGCGTTTCGACACCATCATACCAGTCCCAAAGACTCGTGAGACTGTCTGTCTGAAAAAGCCTGTGATTCTAACACCGGAACCAGTGGGTGTCTTTTCCCCTCTGGGTGTGGGAGCCACTTGGGACCATGTTTTCCAGCTTTCCCCCCCCCCCCCCCCAACACACATTCTTCTTAGACCGAGCTGAGGTCCCCATTAGCAACACACCAAGGCCGCGTGCGCCTGCTGGGCGGCGTCAGGACAGGCTGGACTAAGTAGAGCTAATCCGCCGGGCTGCTGCCAGACCCCCTGGCGGCTGCAGCTTAGTTCCAGCCCAGCCACCCCCCAGCTCCAAGGGGGAGCCAAGCCCATGCAGCCACACTCCTGGCCTTTCCTGAACAGTCCTGGCTCCACACGACACTTCCCCTGGTGTTCCTGCAGCGGGTGCTGCTCTGCCCAGCCGGCTTTCTGGGGCAGGGCAGAGACCCTCTGAAAGACAAGTCCATGGTGTCTATGCCCACAGGGGCTCTTTGCTGGGACGCCTGGAATGTCACAGGAGAGGAGCTGGGCAGGGTGCAGGTGACACCTGCCCAGCGTGTCCCAAAAAGCCCTTACTGTCAACATGGCACGTCCAGCCCAGTGCTGCCCCCACAGGCTGCACCTTAGCTTGCTAGTGGTCGTCTTATAAGCCTCAAGCTCAGAAAGGTGCCGGGGCAGCTCTGGGGCGGGGCATCTCCCTGGCTGCAGCCCATGCACCCTTTGCTCCTGAGCCCAGCTGCAGGGAAGAGCAGTCCAGCATCTGTGGCCCATTCAGCTGGATGGGTCTGTTTGTGACAATGGGGGGGGGGATTGGTCCAGGACCTGCCCGTGACTTCACAACAGCTGCTGCATAGCCCTTGTGGGGGGAGGGTCGCTGCACCGGGGACCAGGGCTGCCTCAACTCCTCAAGTGGACAGGCTCTTCTCTGCACTCAGCCCAGAACTGCATGTCAGGGGTGCAGGGAAGGGCCCTGTATCCATATCTGGAGGCTAAGGGACAGCCCAGACCGGTGGAGGATGCTTCAGCTCCAGCACAGCCTCTGCAGGGCAGCCCCCAGAACAGAGGGGCTTGGTATTAAGGCCCCATTGAGATGCACGGGGCATTTTCCCGTCTCAGAGAGCGCCGGGGTCAGGCTGTCAGCAGACTCAGGCAGATGCCCCACGTTGGTCACCCTCTGGACACATTTCTTCCCAGCCGGGACTGAAAGCGAAGATTCTGCTCTGCATGTGACTGAGACCTTTGCCTGGCCATAGCACCTGAATCTCCTGGCCCCCAGCCCCAAACACTTGCGTAGTGAGTCACATGTATGTTACTCTGCTGGCCCCATCTCTGCAATAGGTCCTGGATATTGGCAGTGGGCAAAGCTGGCAACCCTGCAGGGATATGGGGCCACCCCATGCACGTTAGTGGGACATGGAGAGGTGAAGGGACTGGCTAGGTTGGGTAAATGGTGCTAATGGTTGGGACTGGGAGTCAGGAGACCTGGTTCTGATCCCGTTTCCTTCCCAGGTGAGTCACTTAGGCCCAAATCCTCAAAGATCTTTAGGTGCCTAACTCCCATGGTCCTTAATGCCCAGTGCCTCAGTTTCCCCATCTGTCCAATGGGGCTAATGCTACGCACTTTCTAGGTGCTGGGAGGGCTCAGCAGGCCCAGGTATTGCTGGCCCCTCCTTGCCGCCATGTCCTTCATGGGCCTGTTCCTCCTTCTCTTGGCTGCAGAATTCCATCCGGCACAACCTGTCCTTGAACAAATGCTTCCGGAAAGTGCCGCGGCAGAAGGACGAGCCAGGCAAGGGGGGCTTCTGGGAGATCGACCCGCAGTACGCCGATATGTTCGTCAATGGTGTGTTCAAGCGGAGACGGCCGCCGGCCGCACCCTACAGCCTGCCACGGCAGCACCCCGCCGTGCCTGCCCTGGAGGCAGGGTGCAGCCTCTTGCCCCCTGTGCCTCATCTGGGGGGTGGGCAGCCAGGGCACACCCCTCACCAGGCTGCCCACCACCTGCTGCACCAGCACGGCCAACGCTGCCCCCTGCTGGATGCCCCCAGCCCTCTGCCGAAGCGCAGCTGCCCGGCAGCCAGAACTGCCCAGTCCCCTCTGCTGCCCTCTAGTGGCAGAGATGCAGAAGCCCTGCGAGGAAATTTCAACTGGGCCGATGCCTTTGACGATGTCTTACGGGGAAACGGCAGCAATTTCGAGGACCTGGATATTAACGCAGCGCTCAGCTCGCTGGCCGCAGAGGTGGACCTCGCCATGCAAGGCAGGTACATACCCCTTGCCAGCAAGTGGGGCACCCCGGCTACCAATCACCCCAGCCCAGGGGCTTCCCAGTGGGAGGATTTCACCCCCTTCGCCGACACCCCCCAGCACCCCTGGGAGGAGGCGAGGGGGGAGGTGCTCGGCAACCCCTGGGGCTTTGAGCAGGGCTTCAACTTCTGTGACGGCTTCCTCAGCGAGACGCAGCCCTGGGACAAAGTCGACACCTTCATGTGATTTCCCCCCTCTCTTCTCTGGGGTGGGGCCCCAGGTGCCCCTGGGCTGCAGTGCCCAGCCCCCCAACTGATTGCTCTTCTCTGACTGCCCCTCGCTCAGCTGAGCTGGAGCCGAGCCCTGCTAGGTTGCCGAGGTGCGAGCGTTCCCCTGCAGGGAGCGCTGGGCCGCTGCCCCTCTCCTACCCCCTGGCATGAAGGTAGGCCGAGTCCCTCCTGCTCTCCCAAGCACTCTATGGGGAAGGCCCTGTCCCTCCCTGACTGTCAGCGCTTGTGGCTTCCTGAGCCCTTGGGCAGGGGTCGCATTGGGAGTCCGTCTCTCCCCACCACCCCACCCCAGCAAGCTGTAATGCCCCAGACCGGTGACTCGGCTGGGCAGTGACTGCTGCAGGGCAGGCCGGACCCTGACCCTGAGCCACAGGAGGCTCCGTGCCTCATCATGGCCCCCAGGCTGCAGGGGGGGTGACAAGGGGGCAGCAGCTGTGGGACAGGACCATGGGGGAGGCACCTGAGGAAGCTGTGGGGGAGGGGAAGGGGTGGATGGGAGGCTTGGAGGGAACTCCATGAATGGCGGCGTGCCCGAAACACGCCAGGACGGCCCAGGGCAGGAGGGAAGAGCTGGCACCAGAGTTGCATAGCCTGCCCTAGCAACACTGCTCTGGGTGACCCGCTTCCTCGGGCTGGAAGGGGCCACTCCTGGGATTGCCCCAGCCTGGCAGAGGGAGGGGCTAGGAGGGAGCAGCCATGCCATGGCGTGAGCCCTGCTGCCAGGACCCAGGTATTCGGCAAGTGGCACAGAGACCCGGCCACTCCTCCTGCTGGGAGCTGCTGATGCCCAGCCAGGGAGGGGCATGAGCCGCAGTGAAATCCCCTCCTGCACTCACCCATTGCGGTAGCTGAGCCTTGAGCTGCAGGTCTGCCAGGCAAACCAAAGGAGCCTCCCCTGGCTGCGTGGCTCCAAGCCAGGGCTGGCTGCTCTGCGCCTGTGAGGGAACCACCTGGCTCTGCAGCAGGGCCCCAGCCAGCTTCACCGCTCGCCTCTCCCCAGGAACACTGGGCCTCATCTGGGCTGGCTGCTAGGCATGGCAGCCTCCCTTCCCCCTCAGGGCGAAGATGGCAGAGGTCACCCAGCCTCGGGAGTGGCCAGTGCTACCCTTTGGAGCAGGGAGCCAGTGAGGGGCAGAGGCAAATGGGCCAGCTGGGTCCTGTTCCCTCCCGCCTCTGCCATTATCCTGCACCGTGACCTTGGGCAAGTGCAGCTTGGTGCCTCAGTTTCCCCATCTGTGAAATGAGAATGATGCTGGCCCCCCTTGTCACACACACACGTGAGTGACATTGTTACTGTCTAGCCTGCCCCACAGGGCCAGGCTGGCACTGCCCCACCTCAGCAGAGCATCTCTCTGAGCCACCTGTGGTCTCAGCTGAGCACAGAGCTAGGAGTGCATGTCCCAGGCTGCCTCCAGGGCTCATGTTGTAATCTAGTGAACAGCAGCCGGTCACCAGCAGAGGCAGGGAATGGCGGGGGCCAGCCCACAGCAGGCCTGGGCAGTGCAGTCCTCAGCACTGCAGTGAGCCTGAGTTTACACTGGCCACAGCCCACGTGGGGCTACAGGCCAGTTCGAGCTCCCAGCATGCCCTGCTCCAGGGCGCGGCAGCATGGTGGGATGGCCACACAGTGAAGAAAGTGGCAGTGGGGAGCCAGCCTGGGTTGTAACTGGGGCAGATGGGAACTTCGCAAACTCTCCGAAGGGGGGGCCCTGCTGCCACCGTGCTGCAGCTCTGCGAGATGGTGCGTTCTGGGAACTGGGCAGCTGTCCCATGGTGCTGCCGGCCCCGAGGCCATGCACCAAGCAGTGCCAGCAGCATGCGGGACAAGGATCTTACTGCTGGGAGGGAGGATGGTGGCAACGTGGGGCCAGTTAGGGACCTGCCCATGCTGCAAGGAGCCCCAGGCTAGCCACCAGCTGGGGTGAAGCACTGTCATCTGCCTGGCTTACTGACCAAGTATGAACCTGGTGGGTAAATGATCACAGCTGCCCCCATGCCCTGAGCTGAACTTTCCCAGGCACGCCCAGGGCCAGCACCACCCACAGTGCAATTGCAGCTGTGGCCCCTGCCAGGCTGGGAAACACCACAGTCATGGCGGCGGGTGACATGGCTCTTGCTGCTGCAGGTCCCCTTTCCACCTGCTCGAGCCAGTGGGGCCGTGCTGCAGGCTGGGAAGGGGGCAGGATTGCTCGAAAGAGACAGACACTAAAGCCAATGGCGGTGAGGGGTCCGAGAGCTTGACCCTGCTGGTACTGCCAGCTCCTAGTGCTTACCGTGAATTGCCTACCTGTGCAGTCCCCACAGCTGGGGCTGAGGTGGCCTCACGCAACAGCTTCTGGGAGATCCAGCTCCTGTCCAGGGCCCTAGGTGGCCACGTGGGGAGGGAGGTGGGAGCTGGGTTGAGGCTGATTGGGTTAGAGCTGTTCTATCCTTAGCTCAACAATGGTATTAAGAGTAAGGATGTAAAATACTAAACCGTTAACTGGTTAACCGACCCTACCCATTAGCCCCAGCCCCATAGGCAGCCAGCCAGAGCACCCCAGCTGCAGAGGCCCCAGCCCCTCTCCCTTTTATTGGTTAACCGTTTCAGTGACCTAATTTTAATAATTTAAACGGTTAACTTTTTAAATGGATATTTACATCCCTAATAAAGAGGGAACAGAAGCAGGGTGTGAGAGGGAGAACCTGTGGCTGTGGCTGTGTCCCCCCCTACAGTGATTCAGCTGGCAGCCCAGCTCTGCAGGGCCAGGCCACAGGCGTTCTTGGAGATTTCAAGGTGCAATACACAGAAAACAAAGCACAAAATCTCAATGGATCTGTGGAGTCTTCTCAAACCCATGGCCGTGGGAGCCGTGCCTGAGCACCCGGAGGGCAAATGAGCCCGGCTGGAGCACATCCTTGTAGCCTTTAGCCTGAAATCGCTGGGCTTGCAATGGCCCTGCAACCTGGCTGAAATTGTAAACATGCACATTCACACGTGTCAGGAGAGTCCGACTTAATGTTTCCCACTTCCACCCACATCCTCGCATCCCCCGCCCTTCCTGGGCCTCGGACACAGCGTCATGCAAATGGCTCCATACGTGTCGCTAAGGTCAGAGTGATGACTAACCCTCCACCAGCGCTCAGTGCACCTGCGCCAAAGTGACACAGACCGGGCAGCGCCTGTTCCCTGGATGACGTGCTGGGCACTGCTGACAGTGTGTTCTGTCCCTGCCGGTGTCTGAGCATGCAGGGAACAGGCCTGGCATGGCATGGCACTGAGGTTCCTGGGACAAGCCGCATGCTGAACTCTCGGACTCGGGTGGCTTTTCGCATCTAATTCCCTTGGTGGTTTTTTTTTTTATTGTAAAAGACAAAAAGAATAAAAATGGACACCTCCACCAGCGTGGCGTTCAGTTTCAGAGTTCATGGCCCATTGCATGTGCTGGGATCGTGCCCGGCTGCCCCCCAGCACACAGCGGCACGGCTTCTAATGCCAGGCTGAGAACACACCAGCCCATCGGTGTGCCAGGCAGTTCTAACCCCCGACGGGGTGGGAGGTGGCAGGGCAGCCGAGCTGAGCGCGCCCGGTGTGGCGAGCAGGGCTGATGCTAATATGGGCATTGCTGCATCCAGGGGTGCAAACCTCCAGCACAGGGTTCCCCGTTCCAGATGTGAATGCGCCAGGAGCCTCTGTGTCCCAAGGCTGCCAGGCCTCACCCTGCTTGAACTGTCGGGGCAGCAATCAGGTGCTCAGCACCTCCAGCCAGGTGGAGTCCAGCCCCTCTGCCCCTCCCTCCTCATAGAGAGCTTCAGGTCATTCCCCCTTCACTGCTCCCCACCTCCCTCTCTGAGCCTCCCCCCGCACTGACCAGCCAGAGCCCTGGCACTGCCATACCCAGCCCGAGGCAGGCTTAGCCAGGTGGCTGCTGGCCCCCATGATCCTCCCACTCCCACCCCATTCTGTGTGCTAAGCACTAGGCTGGACCTGTCAAGCAGAGCTGAATGGCTGCCTCCTGCGCAGTGGCTGGGTGGTCCCAGCTCCCAGCCCAGGCCCCACACAGTTCACCCTGCCCCTCACAAGCCTACACGGCACGGGCCTCCCCAGCCTGCTGCGACTCTGGCACCTCTGTTGTGCCACCAGCTTGAGCTGGGTGCTGCCCTGCCTGGTGCGGGGGAGGTGGGGAGGTGTGATCTGGGAGCGTTTCGCACTCAGGCTGCCCGGGGCACATGGCCACACAAGGTGCCAGGCCCTGGGGGCCTCATCACACTTGCCTGGGCACCTGACCCTTCTGCACAAGGGGCGAAAGCCCCTGTCCATTTCAAACCCATCTGGGCACCTCGCTGGGGCCGTGCCCCACACCATTGCCTCCTGCTCCCCCCACAGTTCTTTGGGGCACAGCATAGGGCCACTCAGGGTGACCATGGCCAGCAAGGGGCATGATGCAGGGGAAGGGGGTAATACCGGAGGAAAGGGCTTGTCACTGAAAGCTCAACCCATGGGGTGGCTGCTCGGGCCAGTGGGAGATGCAGGGCCTGGGTTGCTGTGCCAGCCCGCCCAGGAGGAGTTTGGAAAGAGCTCTTTGCTCTGCCTAGTGTCAATGCCACAGTAGAGAGGGCAGCTGGGCTCAGCCTGCCCAGGGAGAGGCATGGGCCTCCTGGGGGTCTGGCCCTTTTAGCCATCTCAGCTCACCCCCCAGGCTGAGGGACATGACACAGAGACTGCCCCTGGGCTGCGGGAGATGGCACCGCTGCTCTGGGAGTTATCATGCTAAAATCCGGCTGGGGCCGTCCTCAGTCCAGCTGGCACTGCCCTCGGCGCTGCAGCTGCACCCTGCCTGCTGCATGCGCTATCTGTCTCCCCCATCCCCCGGCCCGGCAGCAATGCCATGGGAATCAGGACAGAGGCAAAACCCTATTTTCTCCCTGCCCCTCCCCACTCCCCATGGTACTGTTCAGTCTAACCAGCTTAGCGTTAGTCTGGGTCACTGAGCCACCAGCTCGCTGACCCGCATAAGCCAAAGCGCCCAGCGGCCCAGGCCCCTCGTGCCCGCATAGCCTCAGCAGGCATGGACTTTTGAAGCTGGGAGCTGTAAATTAAAGCAGGAGGCTGAATAGAATGAGCCGGAACTGGCTCAGAGTCCCTCCCCGGGCAGCTAGCAGGGTCCCTGAGCGGTGGGGCTGGCTCAGCCGGCTGGAGCTAGGGCCAATGGCTGCCTCTCACCATTGGGCAGCGCTGCCCCAAATCCCCCTCACTCGCCCCCATCCCTGGGGCTGGTCAGCAAATGCTCAGCACAATGTGAAGTGGGCTGAACCTGGAGGCTCAGCACTTGTGCTGGCTGCTGAAGGGTTCCCCAGAGCCAGGCTAGGAACAGAGATTGGGGCTTGGGGCAGGCGCTGGCTGGGGTCAGATTGCTGGGAATGCTGAGCTTGCTTA